AAGTTCAAACCCATCATCCATCAGCAACTTCTCAGGAGAAAGACGAGGCAATCTGTTCCCATAAAGGTTTACACTCTCAGAAACTCTTAAGAGGCAGTTCTTTTCTGTCCTATATAGGGTCACTAAAATTGACTTCATGGCAGCAAGTTTTGGGTTTTTTTTTTTTTTTGGTATCTGAAGTACAACACTGTCAGTGACAGTCTCATGTTCATATTCTTACAACACCAGTTAATTAAACTACTACTCAAATTTATACACCAATTATGAAGGCCAAAGATGACTACATTCAAGGTTTTGTTACAAACTGTTGCAATCTGAAATTCATCACACATGCAATTAAAATGCAGCAGTAATTAGAATGTGAAAGTTGGAAATGAAGCAGGATTGGTAGTTATAAAATATGACCTCGGTGATAAAAGAATTATGTCAGAGATTGCATGATATAGTTCTGCAAGAGTAATAACTTAGTCATCAGAATTCATTAGGTTTTTTAGTTTTTTTTCCCCAAAAACATCATCTACATATACAGGTCTCACTAGATGGAATACAAGGGAATCAAATCTACTACATCTGTGTAAAGAAATGATGGAAAAGCTCAATATTATCAGCCAAGGCAAAGCCAATAGCTGATTATGGAACAGATCATAAATTATTTATTTATGTGTAAGTTCAAGTTGAAGATGATGAAAATCAAAGCAAGTCTACAAAGGCCAAAATATAACCTTGAATGCATCCTGCCTGAACATATAGACCACCACAAAAATAGATCTGATGCACTAGTCACTAGTGATTGAACATCAGAAGAGTTGTGGGGGGTTGACATTAAGGATATCATACATAAGAAAGTGAAAGATCATTAAAAAGACAGACAAGAAGGAAAAGATCAAAATGATATCAGAAGAGACTCTGAAAGTCTAAAGTGCAGAGTAGCTAAAGTGCAGAGTAGCTAAAGTGAATGGAAGGGTAAACCTTCACCTAATTTACAAAAAACTTAAAAAGTAAAGTCAACGGAAAAAATGGTGATGTAAAAGAGCTGAACATAACAGTTCAAAGAATGGTTTAAGAAGACAAGATAAAGTATTATATAATGAAAGGAGCTCTGGTAGCGTAATGGTTACGAATCGGGCTGCTAACCTCAAAGTTGGCAGTTCAGAACTACCAGCCATTCCACTGGAGAAAGATGAGGCTTTCTGCTCCTGTAAAGATTTATAGCCTGGGAAACCCTGTACTGGGTCACTATGAGTCGGAACTGACTCTACGGTACTAACAATAACAACATGCAAAGACTGGGAGAGTTAGAAAATCAAAAGGAAAAAACACAGTTGGCATATCTCAAGCTGAAAGAACTGAAGAGAAAATTCAAATCTCGAGTTGAATTACTGAGGGATTCTAGGGGATAACAAAATTGAATGGTAGAGGAAGTATTAAAAGAAGATGGAAGCAACAGACAGAGTCACTGTAGCAAAAAGAACTGGCCAGTGTTCAACCATTTCAAAAAGAAGCATATGATCAAGAACTGCTGGTACTGAAGAAAGAAGGCCCTGGGAAAAAACAAGGGTTCAGAAATTGATGAGACACTAATTGAGATACTTCAACAAATGGATGCAATCCTGCAAACACTTCCTTGTCTATATTAAGAAATCTGGAAGACAGCTCCCTGACCAACTGACTCAAATAGATTCATAATTGTGCTTATTCCTAAAAAAGTGATCGAAATGTGAATATTACTGAATATTATTAGTAATGTAGGCAGGCAAAATTCTGCTGAAGATAACTGAAAAATGACTGCAGTCACACATCAACAGGGTCCACATCCAGAAAAGATATACAATAAAGGATATCACTGCTAGTATGAGCTGGCTCTTGGCTGAAAGCAAAGAATATAAAATAGATGATACTTACCTGTGCTTTATTGACTTTGTGAAGGCATTCAACTATGTGAGTCATAACAAATTATGGATAACATTACAAATAGTGGATGTTCTGCATTGAATTATGTCCCCCCAAAATATGTGTCATAAATCCTAACTTCTATGCTTATGGTTAGAGTCCTGGTGTGGCACTGTGGGCAGTTCAAGTTCACCAGCTGCTCCTTGGAAACCCTATACAGGGTACTATGGGTTGGAACTAATTAGACGGCACGTAACAACAACATGCTTGTGGTTATAATCCCATTTGGGAAGGACTGTCCTTGTTAATGTGGCAGGATTACTATAGTCAATCTCTTTTGAGATATGAAAGAGCAAGCTAGCAAGCAGATATGAGGGAAATAGATGCCAAGTCACATAAAGACTGTACAAGAGCAGAAGCTCCAAAGAGACAAAGACCTTTATTCTCAGTCAACAGAGAGAAAAAGCCTCCCGCCCCCTAGAAATTCAGACTTCTCCTAACTATGAGAAAATAAGTTTGTAAAAGTGACATTTAAAAATGAACCTGTTTTTCGGAACTCAGCCAGGAGAAGAAAGAAGAGGGAGGAAAAAAAAACAAAGTGAGCTGATACAGTCTGATGAACTTGACCTATACCTATGGAGCAGCAACTCAAAAGAAGGAACAAATCCTTACAGCAAGAAACATTCCCACCCCCTCCACACACAGAGTGGACGGAGATGGGCAACTTGGACATTGGATACGCAAATGGGGAGGGGGGACTACAAAGGCAAGAAGTGACTGGCTTACAAGCTTTCAAGAGGGAACCTAGTGCTAGGGGGCATGGAGGAAGGCAGAATCTCCAGTGGGTACTATTCAATCTGTCTGGGCGGAGCTGATGAAAGGAAATACAGATGGGTAACTTGTGATACAGTAGTGAACAATGCTTATCAGGATGGATTATGAGGGTTGGAAATGCAAAGGTAGATGTTTTGTAACAAGGAAGGGAGTGATTAACTCTCCAGTCTAGAAGTGGAGGTCTCTGGGACCATCAACGGAGAAGAGCCGAGAGCGGGACCCTACCCATAAAAAACAGAGATGTCTGAGATAGAGACAGAGACGATGACGTAGAGTGATGAAGCGGCTGGGGACTTTGGATCCAGAGAGGGAAAGGGACTGTGGGCCGAAGACTTGGGGGGGAGGGGGGAGTTTAGGGGGTGGGTTACTAGGATATACCCTTTGGTTGGTTGATGCTGCATGGAGGGGATTGGAACCATGGCAATGAAATGATATACAATGGAATGAATGTAAAACTAAAGTTGTCTCATGTAAACTATCATATAATTCACAATAAAACATTATTAAATATATATATATATATATATATACCTGTTTTGTCCAGAAACAGAGGACCCTAGGACCATCAAGAGAGGAACACACAAGCAGAATGCAGGACCTTATCCAGAGAAGCAGCAGTGCCAGAGACGGAGGCAGAGATGGGGCATGGAAAGGGGGAGCGGCTAAGGACTCTAGATTCATCAACTAAGAAGAGGACTAAGAACTGGTGGCCATGAGCAGACATGCAGAATGTGCCCTTTGAAGATGTAAACTTTCAATCCACAATAAAAACCTTAAAAAAAAAAAAAAGAACCTATTTTGCACATCATTGGATATCCTTGTTATTAGAAAGAATCCAACATGACACTCAGAAAGGGCAGTATATTCTTTTGTAATTAAAAAGCACCATTCTAGAAGGTGATATTTTTGCACAACATGATTTCTTAACAGCAAATGTCAGCTGTGTCTTTTAAAGGTCTCAAATCCATTTGTCTTGAAAAAGGATGCAGTTTCCAAGAGCAAAACCAGATAACCACGTGACAGCCACTCGAGAGGGCCTGGTCCACCCTGTACTCAATGAGTTATACAGGATGGCACTGGTGTGTACCTTAGGATTGCAATCACCACCCTGACAGCAGTTCGGAACTTGGTGAAAGGACGAGATGCAGTGGTTTTTTTATCTGCTTTGGAAGGAAATACTCCCAAATGAGCAATCATTGAGAGGGTTTCTTGCTCAGAGTCTTGGAATCCACCAATTAGCAGTAAGAGGTACTTCTTCTGATAAATCAAGGCTTTTCGAAAGCTCTCAGCTCTCAAATAATGTAGGTACAATTTCTCCATCTAAAAGAAAAGAAACAGGAACACTTAATTACAAGAAAAAAAAGGCATCTTGCTGAGAAATCTCGTATTACACATTTGTATATGCTGCTCTGGAAAAAGAACCAGATTACTGTTTCCTCAGCAGATCATCTTGGGCATCAGCTTTACATAACAATCACAGGCAGAGAAAACCTTGCTACTCAAACAGTGATCTATTTATCATACAATGTTTGGGCCACGAACCTCTGTGCCGCAGAATCACTGAACTGTTATGTCAGTGAGTCCCAAGTTTGATCCATATTGGTGGCCTCATCATGATCTGTGGGCAGGCTGGGTGCTGGCAGTGTGAAACCCTTGGTGTTCATGTTTGCCCTTGAAAATGCATCTACAATTTACCATGTTGTCAAATCAAGGACCTCAGGATCACTGCTCTCCTATTTCCAGTCTGCAGAGACTTGTAATCTTTCAACTCAGTCTTCATCCCTAGTACTTGGGTCTCTCCTCCCTAAGTTCCTTTATCAAGTGACCTGACCACTGGTGTGAGCGTGTTACTATGTGGACAGTGGTGCACACTATCTGTCTATGTGGCAGGTATGCCCAGCAGATGAGAACCTCATAGTACTGGAACTGTCTCCACCAGTATGAGAAAACTTGTGACACATCTAGCCCAAGTGACTCTCACTGCTCCAGCACCATGCAGAGGACCAGCTCACCTTGACACTGCAGGTGACGGCTTCCTCACGTGTCGTCAGCATGCCCAGTCCTGGGTCGGTGAGTCTAAGTGACCCCTGAAAAGCTGTCCTTTCATGCTTCAGTGCAGCCCGGCTTGACCTCTGTGAAAAGAATGGCCATGAGGAACAGTAACTAATGCCATGGGTGGGAGAGGGCCTAGGGGTGAGTACACACGCTAGGGGTCCATCTTCCAGGTGCCATGATGCAGCCCCCTATAGTGGTAACACACCACCCATAAAAGTCATTCCTGTCTCAGTCTTCACCATCTTTGCAATGGGCTACAGTCATTATTTGATTATTATTCATATAACCCTCATCTTCTTTGGTCCCAGAAACACCAAACCTCGTAGATGCAAATACCTAATCCTACCTTAGTTCATCAAGTTACACACATCAAAACCTTACTGAGGGCCCATGTGAACTCTGAGGGGAGAAGAACTGGGACAAAGCAGCTTGTCCTGACCACTCATGTATAGGCTGGGACAACAATAATAGCATATGGAGAGTCCAGAGCATTGCTTAAAGGGAAATTCATCACATGAAATGCTTACATTTGAAAAGCAAGGTCTCAAATGAATCGTCTATATTTTAAGAAACTAAAAAAAAAAAAGCCATAAAAATTGCAGAGAACGTATTATGAATTATTTCAGTTCTTTTATGTTTAATGCTTGTTTTGTGATCCATGATTTGGTCTCTTGAAAGACATATTACCAAAACACTATGAAGAAGAAATAACTTGAATTGTCCTGTATATAGTAAGAAAAGTTGAATCCATCATTAAGTACCTTTTAAGAGAAGAATATACTTAAATGTTTCAACAAACATTTAAGGAAGAAATAATACCAGCTCTATGTAATCTCTTCCAGAAAATAAGAGTAATAGGAAGGAGCATGCTTCAATTTATTTTATGAGGCCACACTAGACAAGAACATTGCAGACCAAGAGCTCCCTTAAACACAGATACAAAAATCCTCAACAAAACATTAATAAATAGAATCCAGTACCATAAAAGAAATGATCCATCATGACTGAGTGGGTGTTTTCATGGAACTACAAGGTACACTCATTACTCAGAAATCAATCAGTGTGATCCACTACATACTAACAGATTAAATTAGAAAAACCACAATAGATGCATGAAAAGCATGACAGATGTCAGTATCCATTCATGATTTTAAAAATCTCTAAGCAAAATAAGAGTAGGAAGGAACTTCATCAAGAAAGAGCATTCATACACACACAAAATTATATTTAACAATAAAAGATTGAATTATTTTCCTTATGGATTAGAAACTAGGAAAGAATGTATTTTTATTGTTTCTATTCACTAATATAATGGAAGTTCTAGTCAGTGCATAAGGCAAAAAAAAAACAAGAGGAAACAAAGGCATTCAAAGTGGAAAGATGGAAACAAAACCACTCCTATACATGATTGACTACGTAGAAAATCCTAAATATCGCTCATGAGAGCTAAAAAGTGAGTGTAACAAGGTTGCAGGACACAACATCAAGTGTAGTTTTATATACTAATTTAGACCAACTGAAAACCAAAATAGGTTTAAGTACCATTTACAATGTTGTTGTTGTTAGGTATCATCTAGTCTATACCGACTCATAGCGACCCTATGTATGCACAACAGAATGAAACATGGCCTGGTCCTGCGCTAATCTCACAATTGTTGCTTCATTTGAGCCCATTGCTCAATGGGTGTTGTTAGTTGATCCAAGAGGAATGAAGTTCTTGACAACTTCAATCTTTTCTCCATTGATAAGAATGCTATTTATTGGTCCAGTAGTGAGAAATTTGTTTTCTTTTCATTGAGATGTGATCCATACCATTGCTGGTACCCCATCTCATTGGGAATCTTCCTCTTTTTCTCTGACCCACCATTTTACCAAACATGATATCCTTCTCCAGTGATTGGTCCCACTGGAGTATGAGAGACAAAGTCCGGCTATCATGGTTTCCAGGGAGCCATTCTGGCTGATTCTTCCAATACAGATTGGTTTGTTGTTTTTGCAGTCCATGGTACTTTTAATATTTTCCTCCAACACCATAGATCAAATGCATCAACAGTTGTACAGTCTTCCTTATTCACTGTCCAAATGTCACGTGCATATGAAGTTATTGAAAATATCATGGTTTGGATTGGGTGCACATTTGTCCTCAAGCTGACATTTTTATTCTTCAACACTTTAAAGTGGTCTTGTGCTTGCCTAATGCAAAACATAGATTGATTTCTTGACTGCTGCTTCCAGGAGTGTTGATGGCTGACCCAAGCAAAAGGAGTCTCTGACAACTTCAATCTTCTTTCCATTTATATGAATGGTGTTTATTGGTCCAGTGGTGATGATTTTTGTGTTGTTTTTTTTTTTACATTTAGATGCAACTCATACCAAAGGCTGTGGTCTTTGATCTCAATCAGTAAGTATTTTAAGTCCTCTTCACTTTCATCAAGCAAAGTTGTATCATCTGCATATTGCAAGTTGTTAATGAGTCTTCCTCTCTCCAATCCTGATGTCATGTTTTTCATCACATATTCCAAATTCTTGGATTATTTGCTCAGCATGCAAATTGAATAAATATAGTAAAAGAAAACAACGCTGGCATACACCTTTCCTAATTTTAAACCATTCAGTGTTCCCCTGTTCTGTTCAAACAATTGTTTTTTGGTCTATGTACAGGTTCCTCATGAGTACAATTAGGTGTTCCAGAATATTCATTCACCTCAATGTTGTTCACAGCCTGTCATGATCCACAAAATCTAAAGCGTCTGTGTAGTCAATAAAGCACATGTAAACATCTTTCTGATGTCCTCTGCTTTCAGCCAAAACCCATCTGATGTCAGTAATGATATCCCCTGTTCCATGTCCTCTTCTGAATCTGGCTTGAACCTCTGGAAGTTCTCTGTCAATGTATGGTTACAGCTGTTTTGAATTACAATAGCCATTACAATTTGTTGTTGCTGTTAGGTGCCATTGAGTTGGTACCGACTCACAGCAACCTTATGCACAGCAGACTGAAACAGTGCCCCATCCTGGGCCAACCTCACAATTGTTGCCATGCTTAAGCCATTTATGCTGCCAATTTGCCAATCCATCTCCAGTGACTGGTACCTCCTGACAATATGCCCGAAGTATGAGAGATGAAGTTTGGCCATCCTGACCTCCAAGGAGCACTCTGGCTGCACTTCTTCCAAAACAGATCTGTTGGTTCTTTCGGCAGCCCGTGGCACTTTCAATATTCCCCTCCAACACCATAACTCAAATGCATCAATTCTTTTAAGGTCTTCCTTATTCACTGTCCAGCTTTTGCATGCATATGAGGTTATTGAAAATACCATGGCTTGGGTCAGGCACACCTTAGTCCTCAACCTGACACCTTTGCTCTTCAACACTTTAAAAAGGTCTTGTGTTATGTATCCCTTAAGAAACCGCACGTCACTACTCTAGATCATTTAAGCCTAAAAATTAATATATAACAGCTTGATTGAACCTTTTTTCTGTAAAAATAAAAATGTTAGATTGTTAAGAAAAACTATGAAATTATCTTAAGTTGTTCCTATGAATCATTATGTCCTGTTTTGAATGATTAATCACATTTCAGTTCCATATCCTGTCTTAATCACATATTCCCTTTGTGACATCCTCCCTTTGTGAATTACATCCTTCCTTTGTAATAAATCCCTCCCTAAAAAAGAGAATAAAAGGCTGAGGTAGAGTGAGTTTTGCATGCAATGTTGTGCAATGCTGGGCAATGCTAGGCAATATGTTTGCAGATCTGTCTACCTGCCAGCTTGCATCATATCTGTGTGTCTGTCTTTTTTGTATATATTTCATCTCTCTCTGTCTCTATCCCTTTCGCCGCCAGATCTCCCTTCTTCGTGACACCCATACTTCCTTGTCGAGGCTAGAACCCGACACAGGACCTCAACAAGATTTAATACAGTCCCAATCACATAACCATCAGAATTATAAACTTTATATTGAAGGATAAAGGAATTAGAATAGACTAAATTATTTATAAAGGAGAATATAGTTACAGGATTCCCAATACCCAGTATGAAGACATATCTGTATTAATCAAAACAGCTAGTAAAGGATTAACAAATAAACCAATGGAACAGAGCATCCAGAAATACAAACACAAATGTTCTTGGCTGACTTTTGACAAAGGTGAAAAAACAATTAAGTGGAGAAAGGATAGTCTTTTAAAGAAATTATGTTAGAAACAAATGGACATTCATATGCATGAAAATGATCCTTGGCCTACGCTTCAGACCATAAACAAAAATTAACTCAGAGTGGATCTCAGACTGAAATAGAAAACGCAAAACTATAAAACTCCAGGCATACTCCATAAAAGGACAAATTGATACTCTGGATTCAATAAAAGTAAAAATCTGCTTAGCAAGAGATAGCACACAGAGGAAGTGAAGACTATCCAGAGACTGGGAGAAAATATTTGCAAGTCACACATCTGACAGAGGACATGTATTATAAAGAACACTCAAAATTTAATAATAAATTTTCTTTAAATAAAAATAGGCAAAAGATTTGGATACTGCACCAAAGAAAACATACAGGTGGCAAATAAACACACAACAGATGCTCATTATCTTTAATTATTAGGAAATTCGACATTAAAACCACAATGAGCTACCACTACACACTTACCGCTGTTGTAAACTATCAAGTTGATTCCAACTCATAGTGATCTTATTGACAGAGCAGAAATTCAATTCTCTATGGGGCGGGCTTTCTTGGCTGTAAAATCTTTATGGGAGCAGATCACTAGGTCTTTCTCCCATGCAGCCAAGCACATAACCATTGTACCACCAATGCTTCTTAAACACCTATTAGAATTGTGTAGGCTAACGTAAAAATAAAAGCACTAATACTATCAAAGCAAGGATGGCAAGTAACTGGAACACTTTGCTGGAGAAAAAGCAAAATCGTACAGTCACTCTGGTAAAGTGTGGCAGTGACTTAAAAAGTTCAATAGAAATTTATGCTGTGATCTAATATCCTATTTATTGGTTTCTGTGCTAATGAAAATTTATGTTTTCACAAAAATGAACACACAAATGGTTACAGCAGCAGTATTCATAATAGCTGACATCTGTAACAACCCTTTAATGGGTGAACAGATCAACTGTGACACATTCATACCATGGAAAATTACTCAGAAATGAAAGGAACAAACTATTGATACATCAACATAATACACAGATAAATGCATACATGTATTATGAAAGTAAGTCAAAGAACCTAGTTCAAAAGATTACATACTATAGGATTCTACTTAGACGACAATCCAGACAAGGGAAAACTATAGGGACCAAGATCACATCAGTGCCTGCCACCTGGTAATGGGTGGATAGGTTGTGACTCCAATTCTTTCAGGGGATGGCATTGTTCTGTATTATGCTAATAGTGTTAAAACTCATACTACTGTATACCAAAAAATGGGCAAATTTTACTTTAAGTAAATTTTAATGTAGCTTTTTAAAGATTTTAAATGTAAAACGAATCACAAACAGCAACCTAATTATATGGAAAAACAAAACTGGCATTACAGAAAAAAGTTTATTAAAATGCATAATCAGGAAAATGTATAAATCGTTCTAACTAAGGGAAAGCCAAATTAAACTAATTTGATCAGCTTATTACATTCTTAAGGAGCTTTGGTAGTGTAGTGCTTATGAATCGGGCTGCCAACCTCAAGGTCAGCAGTTCAAAACTACCAGCTATTCTATAGGAGAACGATAAGGCGTTCTGCTCCCATAAAGATTTATAGCCTCGGAAACCCTGTGCAGGGTCACTATGAATCAGAACTGACTCCACGGTACTTAACAATACCAAAAATGAACTAGTGGTGGGAAAAGCCACATATATAACAAAATGTAAGTGTGTGTAGAAGTCTGTGTGTGCCAGTGAATGTGCCTGAGCCTGTATGTGCCAGCCTGAGTGTGTGCATGTGTGCAAGTGAGTGCGTGTGTATATATGTAAAGAAAGTTCCCGTTTTCTTGCCACATTTCAGGTCAGCACCTCAAAGGTTTCCATTTCCAGGAAAAGGGGCAAATACATACACTCAGGGTGCAGCCCTTTTGCAGGTGGTGCTTCAGAGTCTTTTCAAGCTTGGACACAGCCTTGCACAGCTCCGCCTTCTCTTGGGTCACTGTGCTAACCACTTTTGTAAGGGAATCATTGTCTCTCAGCAAGGCTTCTACAAGTTGGATCTGCAGCTGTGCAGCTGTTTTTTTCTTGAGAAAAAGAAAACAAAAAAAGTTTTAAAGTACTTAGATTAAAAGGTGTGCATATTATTGTGTGTTTTTTGGTGGTGGGGTTGTCATTCAGTGTTGGGGAAAGCACATACAGGCTAACTGACGCTGCATCTAGGTTACAGTCAAGATGTCACAGTGCTTTCCAGTGTCCTACAAAAGGGGTTCTGGCACGAGGCCAGGTCTGTTTCAGCTAACCCTAGTGGTGCTGACAAGCTGCCTTATTCATGACTCGCAGGCAGACCATAAGAGTTCCTTAAAGGAAATTCATTTCTTCCATGACTATATGACTATTCTGCCCACAAAAAGGGTACAAGAACATTGGGAGATGGCACGGGGCCAAGTACAGCAACACATGAACACAGTGGTTAAGGCCAGCCAGCCCCTGATGGGGCAAGAGGACACAGTGCAGGAGGAACATGGGATGGGGGAAAGGGAAGGGGAAAACATGGGGCAGGAAAGACAAGGGCAGGAAAAAAGAGGAGCAGGAACATAGGGTGGGGAGAAAACAGTGGGAGATTGTGGGGTGGGGGGACCCTGAGTGTGAGGGACACGGGACAAGGGATGTGGGGTGGCTGGAGGAAACACAGGACAAGGAAGACACAGGGCAGGGGATGGGGAGGACAGAGAAGAGAGAGGCAGGGGGAGCAGGAAGGAGAGGCACAGAGAGGGCAGAGGGCCACCATGTTATGAGTCCATCACTCACCTGAGAGGAGGTGGATGTGCTCAGGTCAGATTTCAGTTCTTCCAGGGTCTGCAGCAATGAGGCCACTGCTTTCTCATTTGATGATGTCCAGTCATTAATTGTTCTGTAAAAATAAATAAGCATTTAAAGTGTCCTTATGGATACCAACTGACTTACTCCAAAGCTAATTCACAAATCTTCTGGTGGATGGAGACCAAGAAAATGAGGTTGTACACCACCAAAAGCATAGTGCAGCATGAGGAAATGGGGACCACCTGCATGGCTGCTAGAGGGTTACCTAACAGTCCTGAGTGCTTAGGAATTACTTGTTGAGCTACATTTAGTTCATAAGTGTATTTCCTCAGCAAAGGGGCCGGTTGCCGGGAAGTCTATGAATGTAGGAGTGGTGCCACACAACATGACAATATGTCAACAGTTGCACAGCAGGTGCTGATACCGGCCTCGGCCAGAAGTCACTCTAGGTGGGGCAGTGGGACCTATGGGGGTAACCACCTTCATCACCAAACACTGAGCAGAAAGAGGCTTAAATGAAGCTTGGCTTGAAAAATCTTACAGCTCTATAAAATTAATGTAATTAGAGAAAGGAGAATTATGTTAGCTGAATTCTTTCATCAGAAAGAAGAGAAATATCAACATTTTCAATTATTTAAGTCACCCTGGCTTTGACTCCTGAATAGCATGAGCCAGCAGTGGCTGTACACAGCAGCCCCAGTGTGATGACCAGCGACCTCAACGGGTGAACACCTGGAAACATGCACACAAGCACAGAACTAATATCAAAGGAAACATGGAGACCAAAGTCAGGCACTTTGTGAATCACAAGATGTTCTCTAACATTGAAGAGCAAAAAATTCTGTTTTATCAGTATCTTCCAGGGAGTCCTGTTTATTCATACACACAGGACTAAACTTCATTTCACACACACAGAAAAGGAAATAAGGTACATGTTCCATTAAAATGTGGAACTGAAAGTAACAAAATGTCTTTATTTCAGCAAATGGCACACAAATTTTCTAAATTTAAAAACGCAATGCTTAGACTGCACTAATGAGTTCTGATGAACATATGCACACCTGTTCAGAGTCTGGTGGATGAAGCTGGTCAGGAGCCCAGCGGCACAGAGCAGCTGCTGCCTTATCTTCTCTAGCTCCTCCTGCCGCTCTCGGAGGCCGGTGAGGTCCGATGGAAAGCGTGGCTCTGTGTGGCTGGGTATGCGAGGAGAATTCACACAAAGGTCACTGCCAAGACGTAAGCCTTCCTTCGACTGCAGGTCCCTCACCGTCCGCTGAAGTTGCTCGATTTTATGCTCATCACGCTGTCGCTGTAATTCTAGTTCCCGCTGTCATCAATGGTAAATAACATAAAAGAGGCCATCACATACATGTTCCCAATAACAAACTGCCAAGAGTAAGACCTCGCCTAGAGCAGCATACGAGGGGAGGCCCTCACTGGCCAGAAGAGAACCCCAGTGGGTGACATGGGGTAGACACTTTCCTGCACACAAGTCTCGCAGCAAAGCCTCATGGAGCAAGTCACCCCATGCCTGGCACTGGGGTGCTCCATGTGCAACAAGCGTCAGGGGACAGGATAAACGACTCCTAGAGATGTGGTGTCATGGGTTCCAATCTTGCTTTGTGAGGACAATTAAGTTCTCCCCGGGTCCAAGGTAAGCACTCTTGAGTGAAAGGGAATGGTGTTGAGGTGCTGAAGCAAACAGGATGTAGTTTCATTCTGATCCAACACATACCGAATATGTGTCAAAACACAAACATGCTGCACACACAAATTCAGGCACACACAGTCACAAAGCCATAAACACACAGACACAAAAGCTTGAGTAACACCACAAACATGCATATACAAGAGCATATGCACACAGACACAAACGTACATTTACGCACATACATATGCACAAATGAACAGCATACCCATTTATATGCACAAACATACACATTCACAGGCATGCACACATCATGTACATGTGTGAGAGCATGCAGACACACAAGGGCATGTACGTGCGAACACACATGCGCAATGTGCACAGACACACAGGAACATGTACACACAGAGATATATACCTAAAAACAGACAGATATAAACACACCCTGCATGTACACATGGATACACGGGAACCTATTTACACATGCAAGGGGACTTAAAAAAAAGTTTGTGGAAAAATTCCATTACTTTTCTATTTCACTTTTTGAAACCCCCTCACACATACGCACGCACACACACACAAATACATGCATAGAAATGCAGGGCCATGTACACAAAGACATACTACATAGGAGCGGGCACGTGTACTGACACACAGAGACATACACAAGGGGGTTTCGACAAGTTTGTGGGGAAATTCCACTATCCCTTAATTCCATTTTCCCCACTAATCTGTTGAAGTCCCCCATATATCTGTGCACACAAACACATACACCACCTGTCGCAGGGTCTCTGCTACCGACAGATCATTTGAGTGCCCTTTTGCCTTTCTGGGCCTAACCTCACAAAATTTCTACCTGTTTAGTTGTAAAATGGAGATTACACTATTCACTTCACTGTCATTGACTTATTTACTGCTAATTATGTGCCAGGTCCTGTGTGTGAAGGACCAGGGCGAATAGAAAGCAAACACATGAGGTCCCTGCTCCCAGATCTAATTCAACTGGGGAGACTAAGGACATCCCTAAACAAAAACTCACTGGAGAAGAAACTGCAGAAAGAGCAACAAAGTGCTTTCCTAGTGAGGCCCAAGGGACCTCCTCATGGAAAAACTGAGGCCAGATGAGCAAGAAGGGGTTCCTGAGAGTAGGCATGCAAAGCTGGCACTGGGAAGGAAGCCAGAGAGGAAAAGGACAGGACAAGTTCCAAAGATGAAGGAACCACGGGGCCACCTCAGTCCAGAGTCCTGCACAGCAGACAGTAGGAAAGAACGGGAACCTGCCCCACTGGGGCAGAGGGTGTACCCAGCTACCATGGGAGGCTGCTTCCTCTGAACACACATGCACTGCACTCAAGCAAAGAATGGTCATTTCATCTTTAATTTTCCAGTAAGACAAAGGAACTGACAAAGTCTATGGACTGAGATGCTTCAGTAGCTCTGCTAGAGAGAGTCTATGATCCAGATCAACCCAGCCACCTGCAGCAAAAGTAATACCTGGAAGGCCACATGACCTAAAGCACACACATCCAGGTGTATCACAAAGAACACTTATTGACTTAGAAAATATTTTCTTTGCATTTACTTTTCAAGCAATTATGTTGTCACTCATTTTCATAAAAAGTGAAAATCAAATAAATGAGCTTCAATTGAAAACTTTTGACATGGTTTGGAAAAATACTGAAAGAACAGATTCCTTTGACAATCAAAAGAAGGTGACAGAGCCCTCTTCCCAAGGTCAAAACAGACCCTGGGCAGAAAACTAAAGAGCCTGGTCAGCAATGCCCACTTTGGGCCCAACTCCAACCCTTTTCACTCAACATATTGGGACAGTACAGACCACAATCTGCCCAGTATCTACATATTTAAAACATTCCCCACTTCCCAAGACTAAACACCACAAATATTTTGAAGTTTTTAAATCATTACTGACACATAATATATGAATGGACCTCGAAACCAAGGAGTGAAATAAGTCAGTCACAAAAAGATAAATAGTTTATGATCCCACTTACATGAAAAACAGATAGAAAGTAGATGAGAGTTTAACAGGGGCTGGGTAAGGGGGAGTGGATGCTTAATGGGTACAGGTTTCTCTTTAGGGTGATGAAAATGTTCTCTACAATTACGCAGCTTTAGTGGCTGCACAATTCTGTGAACATACTAACAACCATTGAATTATACAAAATTCATATGGTGAATTGCAGAGTATATCCCAATAAAGTTCCTATAAAAGATTAAATACATCCCTGATATGAACATAAAACATTTTATAGCATTTTAGGATCTAATCTATCTTTTTAACATTTAGAAACCAAATGCTTTACTTTTAGAAGTATATTTTGCTTTTTAAACTATTTTATGCCAAGCTGACCACTGAAAAGATCAGGCAAAAAGACTATTTATGTGAGAAATTACAAAAAGGTTTAAAGAACAAAGTATAAAAATAGTGAGGTCACTTTTAAAAAGTATATTAAAGAATATTTTTTAAGAGGGTAAAACAAAGATCAATCCATAAGAAGATGCAAGATATTATATTACTAAAAACAAAAATATTTTGACTGACATAAAATGCAACAAAAAATGGTCACACAAAAAATATAAGTGGAAGGAAAACTGCCCAACACATCCTAGGAGGCCAAATATTATCCTGAAACCAAAACCAGACAAAGACATCAAGAAGGAAAAAAATTAACTACAGACCAATATCTCTTATAGATACAGATGAAAATGTTCTCAACGAAGTACTAGTCAACCAAAGTCAATGGGGTAGCAAAGAAATTAGGCACTATGGTCAAGTAGATTTATCCCAGGAAAGCAAGGCTACCTTAACATCTGAAAATCCATTTACATACCATATTAACATACATTAACATTAAAGAATGGTGGTGGTGGTGGTGGTGATGTGCCATGGAGTTGTTCTGACTGATAGTGACCCTGTACAGGGTTTCCGAGGCTATAAATCTTTACAGGAACAAAAAGCCTCATCTTTCCCCCACAGAATAGCTGGCAGTTTCAAACTGTTGACCTAAAGGCTCACAGCCCGATTCGTAACCACTACGCTACCAAAGCTAGGGGGAAAAATAGCCTATGATCTTACTAGACACCAAAAAGCATTTGACAAAATCCAACTCTTTTATAATTAAAAAAAAAAAAAAAAGTGACCAAACTAGGAATAGAAGGTTACCTCCTTAATTGCATAAAAGACATCTATAGAATACCCACCAAGAATCATATTCTTCCCCCTGGGATCAGGAACAAGAAATACTCTACTGGAGGGCAATTAGCCAAAAAGAACTAAAAAGAAAATAAAAAGTAAAACTAGCTATATTCACAGGTGATATGATTTTGTATGTAGAAAATCTAAAAGAATACACACACACACACACACACAAAATCTCTAATTAGAACGAGTAAACAAGTTTAGCAAAGTTGTAGGGAACAAAATTAATACTCAAAACTCAACTGTGCGTCAGCTTTAGGACTAAGGTGCGTCTGACCCAAGCCATGGTATTTTCAATAACCTCATATGCATGCAAAAGCTGGACAATGAATAATGAAGACTGTAGAATTGATGCCTTTGAGTTATGGTGTTGAAGGAGAATATTGAAAGTGCCACGGGCTGCCAAAAAAACCAACAGATCCATTCTGGAAGAAGCACAGTCAGAGTGCACCTTAGAGGCCAAGATGGCCAAACTTCGTCTCTCATACTTTGGACATATTGTCAGGAGGGACCAGTCGCTGGAGAAGGATATCATGTTTGGTAAGGTGGAGGGTCAGAGAAAAAGAAGAAGACCCACAACGAGATGGATTGGCTAAGTGGCAGCATCAATGGACTCAAGTATAGCAACAGTAGTGAGGTTGGCCCAGGATAGGGCAGTGTTTCGTTCTGCTATGCATAACATTGCTATGGGTCAGTACCAACTTGATGGCACCTAACAACAACAAGAAGTAAGGAATATTCTGGAGATGAAATTAAGAAAATAATTACATTTATAATAGCATGAAGACCTTTAATAAAATTAAAAATTAAGTTAACAAAAGAATAACAAAACTACAAACTGTTGTTGAACTCTATGAAATGGAAAAGCATTTCACTGATTTACTTGCAGAGGCCAGGTGGAGAGTCTGGGACAAAGCAGTGAGCATGAGGCCCCTTCTTCCAGATCTAACTTCACTGGGGAGACTGAGGAAATTTCTAATCATATGTTCATATGGAAACACAAAGAACTCTGACAGCCAGATTGATCTTTCGAGAACAAAGTAGGAAAACTTAACTTGCACTTGCCTAATTCAAAACTTACTACAAAGATGTAGCAACCAAGATTGAGTGGTCTTGGTACAAAGACAGGACCACAGATCAATAGGACAGGGCTTAGAGTCCAGAGTAAATCCTCGCACATGGCCTATCTATGGGGTTGTCCTCCCTGCCATCCCTCGTGCTTTCTGGGCACCAAACAATGATGGGACAGGGCCCTGTGCCGAGGACAAGCCGGCGCTCACCAGTCTCTCCTTGTCTCTCTGCCACTTCTTCCACTTCTCCACGTCTGCATGGCTCTGCCTTGGCTCCGCTCTCCTCCTCCTCTCCTTGCGTGCATCTTGCTCTCTCAATCTTGCCTGTAACTGCTCTAATTCTGCCTGTATCTGTGCTGGCTTCTCCCTCTCCTTCTCCAGAGAGCACCTCAGCTCTTGTTTCTGGGTCTGCAGAGCCTCCATGGTCGCCTCCAGGCTGGAACTTACCTCCCTTTCTCGCTTGAGCTCCTCATTGCGTGTCTGCACCTCGGCCTCCAGTCGCTGCTGGGCACACGCTGCCTGTTGCTGCACACGCTCCAATAGCGCCTGCAGCTCTGCAACACGGGCCTGCTCTGTTCCAAGCTTCTGCAACAGGGCCTGAGGCAGTGAGGACTCCTGTATCCTCCGGCTCAGCTGCTCTGTCAGCAAGCGCTCGTGGGCCAGGGCCTCTGAGAGCTCCCGTGACCGGCCCTGCTCCACCTCCATGCTTTTCTGCAACTCAGCAAGCTTGCTGCGTTCCTGCGCCAGTAGCGCCTCACAGCGGGAGCACTCAATCTGCAGTTCCTTCTGGAGGTTGTCCTTTGCTGTCTGCTCATGTTTCAACGCCACACAGAGTTTGTTATTCTGAGAATACTGCTTTTCCAGAGAGGTTCGCAACTCCTGCAATGGAAAAAAAAATGGGGAAGTCAAACTCACAAGAAAAATACCTGCTTAGTCATCTTGCCAAATCTCTTTTCTTTACTTTGACCCAAGAGCAACTCTTCTTGACTTTTATGGGAGAAGTACACACAAGGTTCCTCTGACTTGTCACTACTCTCAGGCACACTGAGGTATTCTTTGAAAAGCAGCACAGCGTAAGTGCACACAAATGCCACCTCCTAGGGGACTCACAATAACACATATCCTATGATTGGTGTCTTGGAAGCACATTTCACCATTTAACCATAGCATGTAAACTAAGTTTGTACTACACAATAAGCACCAAAACCACCACACAGGTAGTGGGATCACTTGTAAAGAGAAGCTCCATTATAAAGAGAAGCAGTATCACACTGAGGCCCTGGGACAGGTGTACAGACCTGGTGGGCGATGGACAAGAGGAGGCTGCCGCCTACTTCTGGAAGCATGCCTCCAGAGTTGGTGAGATTGCTCAGAGGAGCAGTCTGACCCACAAAGCTGCTGCCCGTACCATCTCTCGGTGACCCTGACATCTTCTCTATCATAGAGAAGGATCTTCTCTGAAACAGCTCTGCTCCTGCCTCAAGTCCCCCTGCTGCTGGAATGCTGCCAGATGGCTTACCCATCAAGCTCCCCAGTTTATACTGAGAAGGCACAGCACTGCCACACCACTGTAAATTACCTCTAGGGCCCGGGAGCTCTGACCCTCTTTTTGCAGGTGTTGGAGCTGCTCTTCCTCCAGTCGGCTCTGCAGGGCATGCTCCTTTACACGCTCTGCCTCCAGCTCCCCAAGCGCGACCTCCAGGTCCTTCTCCTTACTGTCCAGCACAGACCTGGGAGACACCAACACAGTGGGCCAGAGTTCACCTCAGGTAGAGGAGAGTCACTGTCATCTCACTGTGATCATATGGGGAATCCCTTCTTCCATAAACCTAGTGAGAACAGGCGCTATTCAAGCAGCTATGATAGTATCTAACACACACAGTCCATGGCACACCCCAACATTCCACTTTACTTAGATACCAAGAAAAATGTGGCAAGAACTATATAATTTCCATTCATATGTGGCAATTCAACATCTCATAAAAGCTATTAATAAGGGAGCTAGCAGGCAGTGCATATCTGGTAGTAATTCACCATCTTCCACACACACCTCAGCTGAATGACCTCTTTCTGCACGTCATTCAGGGACTTCAGCAGTCTTTCATTTTCCTGCTTACACTCGCAGAGCTCAGATTTCAGATCCTTGACAGTGCTTTGCTCCAGAACAAGCAGCTTCCGGACACTAGTTGCTTTCTCCTGCTCCTCACTCAGTGTCTTCTGTAAGTCGCTGGCTATGCATTTCTCCTGCTCAACCTTATATGCCAGTAATTCAACTGAGAAGGAGAGTAAAAAATGTGAGGTGTATTATTTATTAGCTCAAATGAGCTGTCCAGATGATTCAGCTAAGTTAAAAATACTAGCATGGTCTGAGGCTGTCTTCTTTTGGGTGGCGAACCCTCTTTAATGAGAAGCCCATTACTTCTAATGCAGTTACGACCCTCAGTGCATTATCCTCTTGTGTGCTGCCACCTCTACCCCCACTCTCTGTACTGGGTCTGTGCTGAGCTCCCTTTTTGTAACTATTCCTTTTCCTTTCAGGCTTCCTCTTCCAGTCAGAGACGCATAGCCACATGCTCTTCTGAAACTGCTAAGCCTGGGGTCTCCTTAGACACAAGGGTGGGGTAGCAATGGATTTGCAGGGATGGCTGCTCTTAGCTAACCAATCACCTCGGTCACCCTGGGCATCACCATGGACACAGGAATGATTCCAGTAGAATGGCCTCAGCCCTAGGTGGCTTCACTGGTGGATGATGCTACCAACACTTAAGAAAACAAAAGTATGAGGAGACAAAAGATAAAGTAGAAAACGAGCATCTCATAAAAATTAAATACTTTTGTAAACCAAATGGCTTTATCAACAAAGCAAAGTGATAACCTAGATAGGTAGAAAACTTGGGAGAACCAAATATCTAATGAAGATATAATATTAAAAATGCATTTTTAAAAAACATCTACAAGTTAACAAAAAAAGGCAAACAATAAAAATGGGCAGAAAACTTGACGGGTATTTAACCAAAGAAGATAATCAAATCATCAACGAGCACATGTTTGACACAATGTCAGCCATTTCAAAAACCAAATCCAGTGTCATCTAGTTCACTCCGACTCATAGAGAACCTAAAGACCAAGTAGAACTGCACCGTAGGGTTGACAAGATTATAAAAATTTAAAGAAACAGACTGCCACATCTTTCTCCCAGAGTGGACAAATGAATTTGAATTGCTGATCTTTTAGTTAGCAGCTGAGCATTTAACCACTATGCCACCAGTTTAGGCTTCTTAAATAATTCTTTACTTCACGTAAATGAGATTATACAGTATTTGTCCTTTGATGACTGACTTACAAGAGCAAATAAAAAAAAGTATTGCTACTCAGGGTTCCAGGTAATACGTGCATGGATTTATTCCAAACTATACATGTTTAAACATGTCTGTGATTAGTGTATGGTTACAAAGAAGTTCACTCAGTAACACACTTGTCTTAGGGGTGGGAATGATCCCTGCTGCAAAGATTTGTTCCCTCTTTTGAGCTACTGCATCCATAGTTGTAAGTCAAGTTCATCAAACTGTATCAGATTACTCTTTTTTTCCCTCTTCTTTCTTCTTCTAGTTGAGCTCTGATCACCCAGTCATTGAGGCTAGGTCAAATGGGTATTATCTGCAAGTGTGGGTGCTCTTGTGGCTATGCCCTCTCTTCTTATCCACTGGACACTTCATCCTCCACTCCAGTCCTCCATGGCTATGCCACTGACTCTGGGCCCAAGAGTCCCCAGGTCTTGTCACACTGCTGGCCAACCAGGTCTCCACCTAGGTTCACAGGAGTCTATTGACCATTGTAGGGCTTAGCTCGCAGCCTTGTCGGTGGCAAATATGGTCACCCGTCAAAGCGTGTATTCCCACTGAGTCTTAGTCTTAGAAGGGGGTTTACTTTGAGGGGACTCTACCCCTTGCCTTGATGTCTCCTGGGCAGACAACTTGCTTGTTCTTGTAGTAATTGGTTGTCTGCCTCTATTGTTTTGTGTTTTTCCTGTCAGTCTTTCTTTCAAGAAATATCTTCTGTTCTTCTAGCCACTCCAGGCTGGTCTGCCCATCCTCTCAGAGGTAAATTTCCCAACTCTGAAAATTCTGGATGCTGTTCAGGATTCCACCTACAGTCTTATGTAATGCAGGGGCTCCGCAGGCAGCCTTCTTGACGGGGCACATTGTATCCCCATTTTAGGTATTCCAATCAGTTATAGGCAGAAGGCGGACTTACAAGCTTTCTATGGTGATACTTTTGGCTTTTCCTTTTTCTCCCCTTCCAGTGTCTATTTTATAACGTAATGCAAGGAATACCAAGATTCAGTAGACAGCCAAGCATCTTAACATTATTTCCACCTTTTTTCCCTATTCCAACTATGTCTCAATCCGTGTACCCCCTTGCCCTGTTGTAACAAGGTTGTGTTTCATGTATGATGTTCTTGATGTCATCCCACAACTCTTCTGGTCTTCTGTCTTTAGTGTTTAATGCATCAAATCTGTTCTTCAGATGATCTCTAAATTCAGGTAGGATATATTCAAGGGTCTTATTTTTGGCTCTTGTGGACTTGTTTTCATTTTCTTCAGCTTCAGTTATAATTTGCATTTGAGTAATTGACGGTCTGTTCTACAATCTACCCCTGGCCTTGTTTTGACTGATGATTTAAAGCTTTTCCACCGTTTCTTTCTGCAAGTGTAATCAATTTTATTTCTGTGTATTCCATCTAGTAAGGTCCAGGTATATAACCATCTCTTATGCTGTCTAAAGAAGCTATTTGAAATGAACAAATCATTGATTTTTCAGAATTCTATCATGTGATCTGCAGCATCATTTCTATCACCAAGGCCATATTTTCCAGCTATTGATCCTTCCTCTTTGCTCCCAATCTTTGCATGCTAATCACCAGTACTGATCAATACATCTTGATTGCATTTTTGATGAATTTCAGATCGAAGAAGTTAGTAGAATTCTTCTATTTCATCCTCACTGGCTTTAGTGGTTAGTGTGTAAATTTGAATAACAGTGGCATTAATTGGTCTTCCTTGTAGGCATATGGATATTTTCCTATCACAGACAGCATTGTACTTCATAACTGATCTGGATATGTTCTTTTTGATGATGAATGCAACACCATTCCTCTTCAATTTGTCATTCCTGGCATAGTAAACCATGTGGTCATCACATGCAAAATGGCCAATACCAGTTCATTTCAGCTCACTAATACCTAAGATATTGATGTTTATGCATTCCATTTCATTTCTGACAATTTTTCTAGATTCATACTTTGTACTTTCCATGTTCCGATTTTCAATGGATGTTTACAGCTGTTTCTCTTCATTTTGAGTTGTGCCCCATCAGCAAATGAAGATCCTGTGGGCTTTACTTCCATGGGCTTTACTCCATTTGTGTCATCACGGTCAACTCTACTTTTGGGAGGCAGCTCTTTCCCAGTCACGTTTTGAGTGTCTTCCAACCTGAGGAGCTCATTTTCTGGCACTGTATCTGACAAGTGTTTCTCTGCTATTCGTAAGGTTTTCAGTGACTAAATATTCGGAAGTAGTTCGTCACTCCTTCTTCCTAGTCTGTCTTCATCTGGAAGGTCATTTGAAACCTGTCCACCATGGGTGACCCTGCTGGTATTTAAAATAGATGTGGCGTAGCTTTCCGAATCACAGCAACTCACAAGCCACCGTAGTACGACAAATTGACAGACAAGTGGTGGATGCAACAGCTACTGGAATTGCGATCTCATATCACTCTGCATTTTCAATTTTAAGCAAATATCTTAACCTCAGCAAGCTTTCAGTTGATGGGTGACAAATGCATTTCATAAAGATCAGATACTTCAAAAAAGATGATCCTATCACCAGTATACGAAGCAAAGTTAAAGCTCATGGAGACGATTTTGTGTAATGACTCGTTGCCAGAGAAATGAGTCTTAGGATTACCAATACAATCAGAGAGCAAGGTGCAATCAAATCATGTTTAAACATGTACTGTTTGGAACAAATCTGTGCATGTATTAACTGGAACCCTGAGTAGCAATACTTTTTGACTTACCCTTGTAAAGTCATGAAAGGACAAATAGTGTACTATCTCACTTACAGGAAGTAAAGAAACATAAGAAACGAAAGCTTACTTGTGGTTGGCAAGTGGGGGAAGGAAAGGAAGGTGGGAGTGTCTTGCTTGGGGAGCACTTCGTAAGGAAATGGGGTTAGGTGAATGATTTGGAAAAGGATGTTGAGAATGACTGCAAGGATCTACTCAATGTCACTGAATTGTACATGCAGAAACTACTGAATTGGTGATGGTATGGTTGTGTATATTTTCTCCAGAATAAACAAATATAAGAAAAAAACAAACACAAAAATCATAAGGCAATGCCATAATACAAATGCCTCTGGAAAAAGACAAGCAAGGGTCACTCCTAATCCTTTTGTGACACCAGAAAAAGGTTTTACAAGAAACATTATTAAAAGCTCTGATGGACAGATGCACAAATGTCAGCAAATGGGATCGAATTTCACAAAAGGACCATATGCCATGATAGTTATCCAAACCACCTGCTGCTCTGCTCAACATCGTGTGACTCCATCTGCACCAGAACAATACTGGAGGCCCAACGGAGCTCGACACCCCACGTCATAGTCAGAGGTGGACACTTCAAAAGCAGGGCAAGAATACCACCCTCAGAGTCTGAGCATGTCAGACTCAGGGTCTAAACCAGTGCAACAAGTGGAGACAGAAGTAAAGGCATCAGGTGGGACAGAAACTAAAATGCCATCTGTGCTCAGAAAATGTAGCCATCATTGGCGGACCTAAATCAAGTACAAGTGTAATGATCTGGTACAATGCACCTGGCCTGTTAGAGGCCCCAAGAATCTTCTAGAAGGAAAGCTGGCCATGCAGTGTGTCTCTGGCCATCTTAGCCCCTAGTCACTTCATTCTGAGCCCTATCACCTGAAGAAGGCAGCAGTGCTATTGTTCAGGTTTCATAAAGACAAACTTGTTGTTTTCAGACAGTCCCATTCTGTCCCCTGCAGGATTGAGGAATACAGATACTGTAGAAAGGCAGTCCTCACACACAGGCTCAATGACCTACATTACTGAATGGGTGCATGCTAGTGATCATGTGGCGCAGTTTTAGTATGCATAGACATGAGCGAGGAAGGGTGCTTACTCACCCTGCCTACGCAGCTGGTGTTCCTGGCGGCTCCCACGGGCCTCTGCACTGGTGAGTGCTGCGCAGAGCTGCTGCAGCTTCTCTTGGTTCTGTAGGTGCGTCATGCGCAGCTGGGCACGTAGGGCCTGGATCTCACACAGCAGGCTGCTCCGGTCAGACAAACAGGATGGCTCTGTGGACAGCTCCGGCAGCACACCCTGCAGACAGGTGGTGAGGAGTTAAAAAGATGGAGACCACAGGGGGAGGCTAGCTTGGGAAAAGAGAGGGTAAGTTGGAGGTCAAGAAACCCAGGCCCTTACTGGGACAAGGCACGTGCACTGCTGAGTACTGAGGACAAGCGGCAGCATGTGCAGCAAATGTGCAAGGAGCTCATATGCACATCAGCCACCTGCGCCTGTTGCCTTCCTTCTGGACACTTCAACAGAGCCGCGAGGACCAGCCATGATGTTGCTTGAGTCACTGATTCCAAGAACACAGCCTCCTTATTTATAGGTGAACTGGCGTCTCAGATTTGATCAGTCTTAACACATGTGGGTCTCATCCCAAAGCTCTTGAGGAGGCTCACTTGCCCACAAAGAACGAGGTGAGGACAAGGCACATGTAACTTTGAATTTGTGTGTTCAATCATGACAAGCAGTGCACTGTGGTTACTGCTGCAACCCGAGGCTGAGGTAAAATGTTCTTTCACCACAACCGCACTCCCGATGAGATACCCATGTCTGCTTACCTGTTCCCGGACAACCTTCTCCAGCCGCTCAAGCAGAGAGCCACTATCCCCTAGCTCACAGCTGCTCAGCCTAGACTGCAGCTCAACACCCAATACATGTCGCTCCTTCTCGAATGCATCCTGCACAGCTCGCAGGAAGACTCCTCTCCAGTCCACACACACATCAGAAGGTTCCTAAAACAGAGGATAAGAAAGAACCATTTTTACTCCATACACTGTGGATAAGGAACAAGAGCCACTAAGACAGATGAGACTCATTCCTCCTCCTCAATGGGGAAAGAAGCTAAGGGGGGAGACCTCATGAGGATAGATGATATAGAACATCCACACTGCACCCAACAGAATAAGGACCCAATACTGGTAACGGGGGGCCCTGGTGGCACAAACGTGCTGAGAAGGCACTCAGGATGCCGACGTGCAGCACAGTCTCAGGGCAGCAGGTGTCAGGTGAATGGGCTACAGCCCTTACCCCCAGGATCAACCACAAGGTAGTAGAATGATACTAGGGATGACACAAAGCAGAGAAGGGCTTTATGGAGATACCTGGATTTGGTGAGCACCAATCAGAAGGTCACAGCTGGACTCCACACCTCTCCCTCATGCACCCACCCACTGCACATTGCATCTTCTGAGGCAGAGTTGGAAGCAAAAAAACCAGTGGCAAGGAAAAACTTCCACCTGCTGCCACTTGCCCACCTCCCTGGTCAAGCCATTTCTGAAAAAACATACAGCCCACCCAACACACCCCAGTGCTGATTCTGACTCATAGTAACACGATAGAACAGAATAGAACTGCACCTTAGTATTTCCAGGACTGTAAATGTTTACCAGTACAGAAAGCTTCCGTCCCCTTTCTCCCATGAAGAGGCTGGTGGCTTTGAACCACCAACCTCACAGCTAGCAGTCTAACACTTAACCCCTATGCCTCAAGGGCTCCTTCTGCCTATCCCAGGAACCCATTATTTGCTCAGGGTCTTCAACTGTACTCAGTGCATCATTGTGGCTCCTTGGAAAGGGGAACACACACTGTAAGGGAACCCCATAGTTCCACTGTGTGGCCTTGCACCAACATTACCATTCAGTGCCCCAAATTTTCCAACAGCATATCCCTACCTTCTCTCCTTTCTGAGATGCTTCAAGGGCCGGCACTGCCTCCATCAGTCCCAGCCCCTCCCTTGGGACATGCTCTAATTTGGCACATGGGTCGCCCCTGCCCAGAGTGCTGGGGGGACCCCAGTGCTCAGAAAGGGCCAAGATGTGGTGGCTCTCATCACACACCATCTTCAGCATCGTCTGCAATAAAAATCAAGTCAGAGATGACAGCTAATCTCAGACCTAGAGGTGCTAAGATCCCTCCATTCACACACCCAGCAGGAAAGGAACAGTATGCCTACCACTGTGGCCCCTGGAGCATTTCCTGCTCTTTTCTAATTGTGAGTTTTTATATTATGTAGGTACAACATTCTATTTATTCATTCATCTGCTGGTGGGCATGTACATTGTTTCAATCTTTTTGCTATTATGATAATACTGTGATTAATTGAGGTATGCACGTTTATGTCAATTCTGTTATATCCCTGGATATATTCCTAAGAGTGGAATTACTGGGTTATGCGCAGCTCTATTTCTATTTTTTTAAGGAACTGTTGGATTAGTTTCCAAGAAAGCTGCACCATACAGAATTTCCACCTAAACGAATAAAGTTCCAATTTCTCTACATCCTCTCCAATTCTTGCTATTTCCCATTTTTCAATCTTCACCATCCTGTTGGTAGTTGCCACTGAGTCATTTCTAACTCATAACAACTCCATGAAAAACAGAATGTGTTCTGACAATCATTGCTATGTTTGATTGCTGCTCATTGTTGTAGCCACTGTGTCAGCCCGTCTCACTGAAGGTCTTCCTCTCTTTTGTTGACCCTCTACTTTACCAAGCATGATGTTCTTCTCCAGGAACTGGTCCTGTATGATAACATGTCCAAAGTATGTGAGATGAGGTCTCACCATACTTACTTCTTAGCAGCATTCTAGCTGTTCTTATTCCAGGACAGATTTTTTGTTCTTGTGGCCATTCATAGTATATTCAATATTATTCACCAACACCATAATTCAAAAACATGAATTCTTTAGTCTTCCTTATCTGATGTCCAGCCTTTGCATACATATGACGTAACTGAAAATATACGGATAGGGTCAGGTATACTTTAGTCTTTAATAGACGTCTTTGCTTTTTAACATTTTAAAGTGGTCTTTTGCAGATTTTCCTAATATAATGTATCATTTGATTTACTGAATGGTACTTCATAAGCATTCACTGTAGATGTAAGCAAGATAAAATCCATGATACATTTATTATGGTGTTATTTATAGGTACAGTTGTGAGGATTTTGGTTACTTTATGTTGGGGTATTGCAATACTGAAGGCTGTAATCCTTAAGTTTGTCAAATCATCTTTAGTTTCAACAAGCAAGGTTGTGCTACCAACATAAAGCAGATTGTTAGTAAATCTTACTTCAAATTTGATGTCTTGTTCTTCTTCCTATATTCCAACTTCTCATATTATTTCAACATTTATATTAAATAAGTATGGTGAAACAACACAACCCTGATACACACCTTTCCTTTAAAACATGCAGTATCCCCTTGTTTGAGTCTGACAACTACCTCTTGGTCTATGTACAGGGCCAAATGAGCACAGTTAAGTGTTCTGGAATTCTCATTCTTTGCAAAGTTATCCATAATTTGTTATGATGCACACAGTAAAATGCATTTGCACAATCAACAAAATACAGGTTAACATCTTTCTAGTATTCTCTACTTTTAGCCAAAATCTATCTGATGTCAGCAATGATATCCCATGGTCCAAGTCCTCTTATGAATCCAGCTTGAAATTTGGCATGTTCCTGTCAATGTGCAGACTGCAACCAATTTTTAAAATTATCTTCAGCAAAAATTGACTTGTCTATGATATTAATGATATTGGTAGATAACATCCACGTTTTGTTGAGTCACCTTTCTTTGGGATAGGCACAAATAAGGATCTCATCTAGTGGTTGGCCAGTTCTTCCAAATGAGTACATCCAGGCAGCACTGCATGAATTTGTTGACTATCTTAATTAGTATTCAGTCAATTCCTGAAGCCTTATTTTTTACCAATGCATTCAATGCACCATGAGCTTCTTCCTTTAATGCTGCTTCTTCATCATATACTGGCTCTTAAAATGGCTGAACATCAAATAATTCTGCATGGTCCAGCAACTGTGTATTTTTTCCATCTTCTTTTGATGTTTCTTGCATCATACCTTGCCTACAAAATCATTCAACATTGCAACTTGAAGCTTGACTTTTTTAAGTTTGAGAAATGTCGACTATTCTTCCCTTCTGGTTTTCTCCATCTAGGTCTTTGCAAACTTCACATTAATGTGAGGAAGCTTCAAAAATTCGTGCGAAAATGATTTTGAAAGTTAATGGAATAGGAAGCAGGGAGAGATGGTGGACTAGATAGAAATGCTGTGCGGCCCTCTACAGTAAAGATACAGAAAACTGGACCACATAGATTCAGAGGATGGTTCTACAACTCTGAGCTTCAGATAAAGGGATAAATAAGTGGCTTGAGTGTTTACAGGAAAAATACTTGGGCAGATGCAGCAACAAAGGAGATGACTTTGGATTTGGGGTGGGTGGGTGTGTGACCTGCTGCAGCCATTTTGAGCATGTGTACGCAAATTAAGAGACAAGGACACATTCACATTGCTGAAGCCTAGCTATGACTCACAAAGACAAAGGGACAATTTTTTTTTTTTTTTTTTTGCTCTCTTCTCTTTTCCTGTCTGGTTCCCTACACTTCCCTGGTGATCCAGAGATGAGATCTCTAGGAGTGTACACCCCCAGGAAGGTCCCACTTTCCAGGTGGGGGAATAACGCACACAGCATGGATGTGCACATCACTGAAGAGGGATGCGACAGTAGTTTCGCTCCACTCCAGGAAGGCCTGATTCAAATCTGCAAAGTTGGTCCCTGACAGAACTGGGCTAGCGCTCATGAGGAAAAGCGGCTGAACAGATGTGTGGGGTAGAGAAAAGGAGAAAGAAAAAGACTGGTTAGAGGTAAGAGGGACCAT